AGCCCTGGGGTGCCTGTTTGGGCTCAGCTCGGCGGGGTGCAGATGCACCCGTGCGAAGGAGAGCAGCACCCTGAGCCGAGCCAGGGCAGTCAGGGCCCCACGGCGCTTGTGGCACTTAACTCTGAGCAGGCATTCACAGGCAGGGGCCCACGGGAGTCCGCTATCAGACGGAGAGATCTGCTCCTGCATCCGCTGGAGAAATCCTGCTCTGACCCCGTCCACTGTGCGCTTCCTTTCGCTGAGAACGGCATCTGGCTGAAGGCCTGCCCTGCCCAGTGCCAAGCAGATGCTCTGATAACTCGGCAGCAAAATGCAACAACAACAAATTTTTAATCTTATTTAGCAGCATAAGGCAGACCCTGGTGCAGGGCATTCCTGAACATACTGAAAAGCCAGGATTAACTGTGCTGCTTGAACTCTGGCTTTTATCGACATGGGTGAGATGCCGCCAAAGCTTTATCCCTGGTTCAGCTCTGCAGTGTAGTTCTGTCTGCAGAGACTTGACTGCAGTCTCTTTTGTACCTCTTTGTCCTCGTTTTTCTTTGCTCTGTTTTTTTTTTTCTTTCAGGAAAGTAGGGATCCCTCTGGTTCCTCTCTCCAGGGACTTGGACCTTGGCAGCAGCGCCAAGGGGGTTGGGGAGCCTTCCTCAGCGCCCAGCCAGAACTGCTGCTGGTCCTGCTCAACACGGTTTGTCCCTTAAATAATAATAATGTCTTTTTTTTCATTTTCCAACTTCTTAAATCTCTCTCTTTGGTTTCTTGTGTTTTGAATACATAATTGGATAATTTCCAGGGTGGAGAGCTATTCACTAATTGTATATACATGAATCACAACATCTTTCGTGCACTTGCCTTAGACCAAGTTCCCATGTTCCAGAGGCCAGTTCATGCTTCTGGAGTCTGTTTACTTCCTTTGGTGTCATAACTGTAATTTGAAATTGTACACCATTTTGCATGAACATATTTCAAAGCACTTTCTTGCCACTCCTAGAAACAGAGGAAAATTCCCACCTGCCTTCCCTTTCTCTGTCTTGTCTCCTGCAAGTTAATTTTTCATTCTATATACATGTGGCAACTTGTCTGGCAGGCCAAAGCCCCATTTCCCTTAGAGGAGAGAGAAAAACAACAAAAATGAACTTGCAGGAGAAAAGAAAACAACAAAAATGAACTTGCAGGAGAAAAGACAGGAAAAAGGGAAGGCACCTCCTGAAGCGGGAAGAGCTGTCCATGCAAACAATGGCGTCTCTGTGGTGAGAGTCTCAGGACTCCCAGGATTTCCTAGGTCCCAGGATATGGTGCTCCAACACCACAGGTCCTGCAGAAAGGCTCCAGCACTGGGGCTTCAAAGGCAGCAGGCCTTAAAACAAGTTCTGTCCATGAAAAAAGCTGCAAAATAGCCATGGCCATGGAAGCTCTCCAGCCCCTGTGTGTTTGGCTTGCTCAGACACCATCCAGCGATGAAAGCTTCCTCACCGGCACAGGCACAGAGCCCTGGGCTACTGACTCCCAGGGCTGGAGCTGGCCGTGTCCCATACACAAAGAGTATGCCCAGAACTTCTGGTCCCTCCAGTGCCTCCACTGGAGGCTTTTCCTGCTGGTGAGAGCTTGGGCAGCTTCTTGGCTGTATGAAGTAATGTCAAGGGTCTTATCACAGGGTTGAGAGATAATGTCACTCTGGTTGTTCTCCCATCTCATGGCAGATGGAAAGCCACTGGTGGCTTCTCTGCCACTGCTGAAATCCCAGCTGGGGACACAGCATGGTAAGACAGCCTTTCCCTGGGAGCCAGGTCTGCACCAGGCCTGGCTGGCTAAAGCTTCTCTGTTACGTAGGTGCCAGGAGCTGATTTCAGAGTGGCCTGGGGTGTGCAATGGAACAATCTCACTTCTGCAAGTAGAACCTCATGGCTGTGTGGCACTGCCCTGTCCCAGCCCTCAGCTGTCTGGATTTTATCTGCAGCTCCATCTTATTCTAATAAGGGGGTTTTCTTTGCTGGCAGCATCCAGTGCTGTTGCCTCCTCTCCCTAGGGCCAGCCAAGCCTTGTCTCTGAAATGGACAACTGAGTAATACAAGAAAATCCTGGCCAATGTAGCCCATTCATATGTGCCCTGCACGCAGGGCTCCTCACCAGCCCGCCCCTGGGCATCCTGCACAGCTCGTGCCACCGCACCCCGCGTCTCCTGCCTCCCCGTGTGTGCACGCTGCCCATCCGCCCCATCCGCACGTGCCTTGCAGGCAGTGCTGACTTGTCCTCCAGCCCCTGCAGCACTTCACCCTCCATGTGCTGTGCACACATCCCGTACGCCTGTCTTGCAGCTGCCTCATCACCCAGAAATGTGGGGGAGGCTCCATTCTTGCATGAAGCATTCAGAGCCAGATCGTGTCTGGTGCCCCCCGCCCCCCGCCTTTGCCCTGGTTTCCCTCCAGCTCTTCTCCTTCCTGTCCTCCCACCCCTGCCCCAGCTTCCTGCCCTTTGAAGTGCCTCCCCTCCTCTGCTCCAGGGTACAAACTGCTTACCAGGTGGAGATGACTTCTCCCCACCCCACAATTAGGTGCAATTATAAGGTAATGCTTTTCCCCAAACCCTTGCTCTGGTGTGCATTGAAGGTGGACGGGCTCACAGGGGACTCCTGCTCCGGGCTAAGGACAGGCGGGATGTGGCGCAGGGCCCTGGTCTGTGCAGGCGAGCGGTGCTGGTGGGCGCTGGAGGTGGGGTGACTGGAGGGTCCTGGCAGTGCTGGAGATGGGGTGGCCCCTGAACACGTCCTGGCCTGGTGGCACCAAGCAGGGGCTCAGCTGCAGAAGCCTGAGCCTGCTCCATTCCAGCACAGGAGCAGCAGATACCTGGGTGCTTCCCGCTGTGGTCAGGCAGAGCCCAGAAATGTGCCCCTGGGGAAGGCGCAGCCAGAGCTTGTGTGGAGACAGGTCCCGGCAGCCGGCAGCGAGCCCGGCTGTCAGCTCTCGTGATCTGTGCTTCAAGGAGTGCAGTGCCTCGGCACCGTGGGATGCCCCTTGGCTGGCAGCAGCCAGTGGAGGAGCGGGGCTCCACGCGCGGCAGCCCTGGGCTTCTGAAGGAGCTGCCTTTGGCTGGAGGTGGGACCCCTGTGTCTCCTACCAAGACATAGGTTTGCTTCCACTGCTGGTGGTGCTGCTGTGAGGGAGCTGATGGCTACAGCAAAGCCCATCCCATGTCATCCCCACTCTTGCTGGGGCTCAAGGAGTGTCAGCTCTTGGTGGCTGCTGGCTCCTCATGTGAACGCACGCTCCTGCAGCAGGTTTCATGGAGCGTGGCTGGGTGAACGGCTCGCTGCTCCGGTGTGACTTTGGTCACAGGGTGCCGGGAGCCACCAGCCACCTGGGCACATCTGTGGCAGGGCCAGTGCCCTGTGGGTGCTGGGCAGTGCCTGGAGGCCAGAGCGAGCAGAAGCCTCTCCTGCTGCAGCAAGGTGAAAGGCTTCATCAGAACCGCTCTGTCCGAGGGCAAAACTCTGCCACCACAGGCAGGGAGTCCTCGCTCCATCCTGTAGGAGAGTGCTGCACGTGCAATGCAGATACACACAGACACACCTCCACATGCTTGTCCTCGCACACAGGGCAAATGCTCTGTAGTGGCCAAGGATGGCTGTTCTGCAGCGCGTTCTCCTCTGATTTCTCTGCAGGATTCAAGAAGCCAAGCTCAGGAGAAAAACTGAACTTGCTGGTCTGCTGGGGGGGTTGGATCTCACCTCCACAGTGCGCTACGGCATGGCAGCGCTCACATTGGCCGGGTCAGGGTGTCTGCCCAGGGTTTTTCCAACTGCGATACCTGTTTGTATCACAAGAGATGCAGATGAATGTGGGGCTTGCAGGGCACCTCTGACTTTGACAAGGACAGTCAGAGCAACCCCATCAGGGGCATGCACATGGTGGCTGCCAAACCGCTGCGGGAGCTATGTGCAGGCAGGGAGAGCCTCTGCCTGCTCCCTTGCCCCATGCCAAGTGCTGCTGGCAGGGCCATGGTGCAGCTGCTCCCCCTGAGCCCTTCACCCCTGGCCAGCACAGCTGGGTCTGCACTGGGTGAGCCATGCTCAGCTGCCATGGCCACTGAGGACCTGGGAGCACCTCGGCTGTGGCTGTATTTGAGGGCACACCTCGGCAGCATGGCCCCAGTAAGGGACAGGACTGAGTTATTAGTGGCTCTTGGGGTGGCATTTGGGCAGCCAGGGTCTCAAAAGTGTGTATGTGCATGTGCAAGTAAGGCACGCAGCCCAGCATGTGAAAACACACCTAGAGAGAAAGTCTCAACAGAGATTAGATTAAAAGAAAATTTAATTAAACACAGATAGCATCCTGTCTGTTATTCAACTCTCCTTGCATAACTCTCGGGACCGGCTGCTTTCACAGATGGCTGCTCTGCTGTCAAAGTCATTTGCTGGGCACCTGTTGGAAAAACTGCCAGGTCAGCACAGAACTAATTGCACCAGCATCTTTCCTTGTGAGATTTGAAAGTTTAGAGGAAAAATTGCTGAGAGATCTTGCAGCTCCCCAGATGAGCCTGTGATGCCTCCTGCTACTTAATCCTCCCCATGTACTCCTGCCAGTGACTGTGATGGGGACAAGGACACTGCAGTGGTCTGGAGGGTCTCAGGGCTCAAGTGGCCCCTGGCAGAGGAGGCTGCATATCCCCCCTGGTTGCATGGCAATGGCTGCTGCTGGGCCAGAGGGAGCAGCCCCTCTCAACGGCTGCAGCACTTCTCCCCTTCCCCTGCTCTTTGCACCCAGGTCTGCGGCTCTCATGAGCAGCCAAAGGCAGAGAGCTCCGCAGCTGTGGGGCGATGCCCAGACACGTGGGGTGCTTTGTTTGCCTGGGTGAGCAGCCAAGTTGCAGCCCATCTCCAGCTTCGTACCAGCTGCAGATCCAAGGCAGCTGACTGGCCTGCCAAAAAAACAAAACATGTCAAGGACCAGGGCGTGGCTTGTGCTAGTGCTGAATAATGATGATCCCAGCATGCTTATAAAGAGATGAGGCGGAGAGCTCATCACAGAGCTGTTCCTTGCAGCCCTGGTCCTCCGCAGAGCATCACTCCGCCTCATCAGCCAAGGTACGTTTCTGAATTGAGATTCAAAATGGGAACTGTGTTTGTGTCCACAGTGGGGCCCATGCCCTGTGGCTGGACACAGACTGGGCTTTTCTTCTAAACTTTGTGAAAATTATGCCGTTGCTCCTGTGGAGGAGTTTCTGGCCAGGGAAGCAGAGCAGCCCCGTGGTGCAGGGTCTGCCTACCCCAAGCAGAGCCTAAAGCACATGGGCAGCATCCTGGTTCCAGGGGCTGCTTGGGGTGAGCAGCACATCTCCCACCTCTGCTCTGCAGGAAAACATGTCCCTTCTCTCCTTGCAGCATGCTTTTGGGGGTCAGTTCATGTCTTATTTGTTGCTGATTTGAGTCTCGACCAACCTCTCCGGCCTGCAGTGCTGTGTATATCCTGGCACACAAAGACCCCCTGGGGGCAGCTGCAGTGTCCCTCCCACCACCTTGCAGGGCCAGGCAGCCCTGGCACCCACTGCGAGACCCCTCTCTCCATGCAGGCTCCGGCATTTGTGCACTGATCACCTCCATGTCCCAGGGCACCAGCTCTGCCCTGGCTCTGGAGCACGTTCCTTGTGCTCCAGCATTTTATATCAAACATCTCTGCATTTCAGCTTGCCTCAGCTTTGGACAAATGATGATGCTCCTGAGTTCCTGCAGTGTCTATCACCCCTGCAGCTTGCTAGGTGTCAGGCGTGGGTGATGGTTACAAGTGCTCTCACCAGAGCTGCTGGGCACAGCCCAGTGCAGGAAGGGCTTGAGGCCATTTTGGCACAGTGCCTTTGTGCTCTTCTCATGATACTTTTCTCCTTGCTTGTCCCCGAGGTGTCCTGCTGCTGACATCTTGTCCTTCTTGCTGTATTTCATGAGGAGTTCTGCTCTAGGGAGGCCACGGCTTAGCTATTTCCCTCCTTCCCAGGTCCATTTCCCACCTTCATACCAGCACAGCCATGCTGGGCACAGCAGTGCGGCTCTCGGTCCTGCTCGGCCTCCTTGGCGTTGGGAAAAGCCAGATGTTTCACATGGGACCATGTCCAGATCCACCAGTCCAAGAAAACTTCGATATCAACAAGGTGCAAAAAGCTTTCTAAAAATCTCACAGAGGGTAGTGAGTTAGGCTAAGGAGTCATGGGACCGATGGCAATCTGTCTGGGTGCACGGGGGGTTGGCAGGTCTGGCCTTGACGCCTTGTGCCGCAGCTGCAGCACAGTCTGCAGCCCCACTAGCTCCCTGCGTCATGGGGGTGGATGCGCGAATGAACCAAGAAGGCAAAACCATGCCAGCAAACAAACCAGGCTGCTCTGCCACAGCCCTCTTGTACTAAAAGCATCTCTCTGGACTTTCTTCTATCAGTATTTGGGGAAATGGTATGAGATAGAGAAGCTGCCGTCAAGTTTCGAGAAAGGAAGTTGCATCCAGGCAAACTACTCGTTGAAGGAGAATGGGAAGTTCAAGGTGATCAACAAGGAGCTGCAGTAAGTGTGTTCAGGCCATGTCCTTGCTGTAGCGGTGGCACTCCTGTCACCTCTCTTGCCATTCTGGGTGGTCATTTTTCTCCAAATTGCCTGTTTCTGGGTCTGGGGGTGCTGGGGGAGGCTCCCTGTGGTTGCAGCAGCCCTGCTGGGATAACAGGCTTTGCTGCAGTTAGGGCAGAGGGGGGCGTCTGGTTTCTGCCAGAGCTTTCCTGGGGCTCACCAGGTCTCTGTCTTGTTGTCCAAGGTGCATAGTGAGAAAATAGAGCAAACACATGGTGACTTGAGTGTGAGATAGGCTGGGTTCCTCCCCTGACTGGTTTGTGGTCCCCAGTGATGGCTGAGAAGCTGGATGCCACAGGTCCTCTCCCAGGGGGGTGTCAGGTCTGGTTATGGGATGGCAGCCACCACATTGTGCCCCTGCATGAGAGGTGGCTGTGCCCTGTGCTCCTCTCTGCTCTGGAGTAAAGGGACCTGATGAAAATGGGCAGGGAAGGTGAAGCACATGGGTCATTTTTACCTAAGCAAATATTTGTCAGCCTTTTTCTGGAGTATTTACCTTGCATTAGTAGTAACTGCTGTGTAAGGGGCTCAGCAATCATTGCCAGTTTAAATCAGTGAACAAAGTGAATGCACTGATTGTTCCCTTTATTATACTTGATAGTCTGCAATTACCCCGAGCCCTCCTGGCTTTTGGCATGGGCAGATACAGACATTAATTAATCTGTTTCCATCGCCAGCCCTGGCTGGTGGGGTGCTGCTGTGAGTGGCTGAATGAATGAGAGGGAGCGAGTGGCGAACGTAGCGCTGTCCCCTGCGCTCCCTGGCATGCCATGGGGACTTTGTTCTGGCTCACAACAACAACAACGTAGCAACACATCCCTTGTGCCTGGCTGAGAGCAGCGTCCACACTGCTCGCTGACTGCACAGTGCTGTCTCTGCTGCTCCACTGCAAGGGCAGCGGCTGGCAAACAGCTGGCTATTTATTTGAGCCCACATTAATCTGTAGGAGATTAATCTGACCGTTGGTGTCACCACTTCAGCAGCTCAGGACCCTGACATGTCAGGAATATTTGTGGTCAAATGTGCACTGTGCATGGCTCCAGCATCAGCCCCTCAACCTCTGCTGTTGGCAGCATTAGCTTCTGCCTCCTTGGGTGTTCCTGTTTGACAGGGAAGCATGAAACTTTCCTGCCCTATAGGCAGAGTCCAGGTCTTGAGGCATCCGGGGAAAAATGCAATTATAAGACAGGCAGCCTGAGTCTTAAGGCTTGCTGCCAGCAGGACAGTGCTCTGAACCAGCAGCAAAACAAACCCTGGCTCACCAGGCAGGGACAGGTAATTTGTGAGCGGAGGAATGTTCTGTAACCTGGAAAAAACACAGGTGATTAAACGGACATGAACTCATGCCTTCCACAACTAGCAGGAGTTGAGCTGCTGCGTAGCACATCTGAGACCAGTGCTGGGATCCTCCCATCCTGTGCAGAGAGGTCTTGCTCTCCCTCTCTGTCTCCCTGGCACCGAAGAACACCCCGCTGGCAGGGGCACTTGGTCATAGGCACCCTGGGGCACTGGGGTTTAACCTGGGAGGGCATTTGCCCCGCTGCACCTTGCCTGGGACCTGGTGTGCTCTGGGTACTGCTGAAACCATCCCCAGGGGTGAGCCGTTCCTCGGGCATGCTGTGGTTAGCTGGTAAGCGGATGGCAGGTGGATGCATCAGGAGGGATGATTTAGTGGAAGCAATAAAAAAAGTGATTTTCAAACTCACCTTGATTTTATGTCTCTCCTTGTTGTTCTCCCCTTAGTTCCAATGGCAAGGTCAATGAAATTGAAGGAGAAATCATGCACATGGATGTAAAGGAGCCGGCCAAGCTGGGCGTCCGCTTTAACTGGTGTAAGTGTGTGGCTGGGAGGCTCGCAGGCTCACCGGCTCCCTGGGGCCTGTGGCCTCAGCGGCGCAGGAGGGCAGTGCCTGCACACAGCCGTGCCATCTGGGGTGCCAAACTAGCAAAGCAAGAGGCAAAGCTGCCCCGGTGACTTCAGCACAGCATCACGGGGCAATAGCAACAGGCCCCCACAGTGGTGGAGCACTGTTCACCAGCTGATCTCAAAACAAGAAATATCTGCAGCGTTACCGTCCTTCCAGGTCATTTCACAGATGGAGACGAGGACGGGGGGAGGCGGGGAGGCAGCCCCAGAGCTGCTGCAAGAGCCAGGAGTAGGCTTGTTTTTCTGAACACAGTGGTATAGCTACTAGCCCACCTTGCCTTTGCTTACGAGCACCTTTTAATAACTGTTTTTGTTTGCTTTTTCTTCCCTTCTCAATCTAACACAGGACAGGGGCCTGCTGAGGTGCAGTACATTTTATTCATGTTGCAGAGCACTTTCCTCTGTCCTCAGCAACACTTGGAAAATGAGCAGAAGTCTCCTCTTGGCTCCCTTTTTATTCTGCTCCCTTACACCTTTTCTCTGGCTGTTTCATAGCACTCACACAGATGAGTTATTTGGAGAAATGGGTGGGGCAGACATACTTGTAAAGGAAAATTATTGTTCATGAGCACAGCCAGACTTAACTATGCGCTGCAAAGGCATCACCTCCAGCCACTTTGCCCGCAGAGTGTGCAACCCCCCAATCATCCTCACTGGACACGAGCCCCAGAGAGCAGTGCCAGCGTTCCTGAGTGCATCAGACATAAATCCCAGGGCACTTAACGCCTTCCTGCTGGACCCAGATCTGCTTTCTGCCTGACAGTTTGAAGCTGGAGTAGCTGTCCCTCCACATAGCAGATGCTTTGGTTGTAGCAGCCTGATGCAGAACAGAATTTGGCCCACGTGGCTGGTGCTGGTGGGATGGCAGAGCCATACTTGTTCCCACTGCCCAGGCTCCAGCTGGCTGCGTGGGGCAGCAGGTTGTGGGGAGGGAGGTGGTGGTTTGTGCTCCTCAGATCACTCGTGTCAGCTCCCAGCCTTAGGGCTCCTTCCTGCCAGCCAGCACCCTCACACAGATATGAGCTGGGCTGGTTGTTGGTCATAGGGTTAACTTTCTGGCAAGACCTTCCAGTCAGGGCTTTGTGATTTTCTCGAGTCCCTCTGGGCAGCACAAGGAGTCCTGATAGGCTTTTATAAATTATAGCTCCCTGCACTGACCACAGGTATGTGGCTCAGGAGCAGCAAATGTCGGAACAACACCAGGAGCTGTGGCTCTAGCGCTGCAGAGCAGTCCAGAGTCAGTTACCCATGGTGTTCATGGTGCCCTTCTTTCTCCTAGTCATGCCTTCTGCCCCTTACTGGGTCATCTCCACCGACTATGAAAACTACTCACTGGTTTACTCCTGTACCAACATCCTCTGGCTCTTCCACATTGACTATGCCTGGATTATGTCAAGAACCCCCGAGATGCACCCAGAAACCGTGGAGCATCTGAAGAGCGTTCTCCAGTCCTACAAGATTGACACCGAGAAAATGATTCCCACGGATCAACTTAACTGTCCTCCAGAGATGTAACTCCTGGCACACAGTGACACAGTGCTAGACCAGCGATGAACTTTGTTGCTTTCTTTATTATCCACTAGAATTTCTCTGTATAACAGAGAAATGTAATAATCCTTTTGCTAATGGTAGTTTGCCAGCCCTGAGTTGCTCCTTGTAGTCATTCTCTCTGTTGCTCTCCCCTGCTTTTTCATTTTGCTCTGACTTTTGCAGAGTAACTGACTGATCCAAAGCTAATGAGTGAAGAAGAGAAACCCTGAAGTGCAGATGTGAAGCTCTGCTTGTCACTGTGAGTCCTCCATTACGTGGATGGGAAAGGGTATGAGATGTGATGAGCAAGTGTTAGTCCCTGTGGAAAACCTTTTGTCATGTACCCCCAGGTTTGTTTCTCTTGATGCTTCTGGGCCTTCTAGGACTCTATGGTGTCTGAGCTACATCACAGGTGCTGCCTTCCCAGCGGCAATCTCCAGACACGGTGGCTGGGCCCTGCAGCCTGGGAACTGAGGTTGGGGATCTTGAATGTTTTCTGGTGCAGGCCTGTAGGCATATGTTATTGCCAAGTCAGCAGAGCTCCTTGCTAGAAATCAGATCTGGCCCTTTGTATTTAAAGTCTTAGAAGTCTGAAAATGTCCGGAAGTTCAGCATTGCTCCATCCCCTGTGTCTGTATGTGACTTGCCTCAAGTGAGGCTGGTCCTGCATCTGAAGGGGTCAGCTCTGAGAATACCCGCAGGCAGACAGAGATGGGTCTGCTCCCTTGTCCTCTCCTCCCAAGGCCTCTCCCTACCGCCGAGAGATGGCAGGCGCTGCCCGACATCCTGCTCACTGCTCTGTACGCGCCGAGTGCCTGCTGGCACTGCATCTGCCCTGGCAGGTGTTCACCAGGCACCGCCACAACTCTGCTTGAATAGCACTGATGCAACTCATTAAAAATGAAATAAAAATATCTGCTTCGGGGCTTTTGTACATTCCCTTTGCAAGCAGGCTGGGGGGGGTGGCTCGGCGAGCAGGGTCTGCCCCTCCTCTGAGGCCAAGGCACTGCAGGAGCAAGAAGGCAACGCAAGATGAGCAACCACACCTGAAGTTAAACGGCTTGCTCCAGGAGCCTGGAGGTTGCTCAGCTCTCTAGGATCAGATGTGTGAGCTTCCCCCGTCGCCTGGGCCATGCCAGCGAACCCGTGTCATGGCTTTGGCTGGCAGTGCCCCCCATCTCCTGCTGCTTTTATTGACATGAAGACATAACAATGTGGACGTAATGTGAACGTGCAGGAAGCGTCCTACACTTCCCGCCTGGGCCCGGGTCAGTGAGGGTGTGCAGCACGGCGCTTTCTTGCCCTGGGAGCGCTACAGGAGCCGAGCAGGGAGCCTGCGCTTCACCGGCCTTTACCAGCCGGAGGAGGCCGAGGTGGGGGGAGGCCTTGCAGGGAGCAGTTTAAGCCACGATATGATGATACCTTTAAACTTTTAAATCCTCGTGCCGCAGCTCGTGTGACACAAAATCAAGCCCTCCGCCCGCACCCCCGGGCGGTAAAGGTGAAAACGCACACACCGGGACGCTGACAGCTGCGCGGCGCCTCCCGGGTGCGTTAGGTGTTTGGGGCAGGTCGTTTCACCGCTGCTTCACCAGATTCCCGATTCCCGCCTCATGCGGGGCGGCGCCGTGACCCCCATCCCCGGGGCGGGAGCGCCACCGCAGGGCGG